TTTAGATCTTAACTTAAAGTAATAATAGAATTTAATTTAATATAAATTTATTTTGAATATTTTTAGGTTATTTCATTTATTTATTTAATAAAACAATTTATAAAAAAGGTGGAATGATATTTAAAACTAAGGAGCTTTAGAACTAGCAAAGGAGTTGGGAAAATGCTAAAAAATTACAAATTTGAAGCTTAATGTTTTGTAAATAAAATTAACGATTTAACAATTAACTTTTGTTTATATACTTAAATAATTTTTTAAGTAAATTAAAATTATTTACATTCATATAAAACAAAAGGAAAAATAATATTGGAAATGAAGGACTAAATCATTTAGAAACAGCATTTAAAAATTTTACTCACCTTGTTAACTTGGAACTAACTTTAGCGTAATAATTTTGTTATTATTTTATACATTTCCTAAAAATGAAATATGATTTTTTATCTTTTACTTGTATTTTATTTATTATTAAAATTAATTAATAAATGAACAAAGCTAGCTTTTAATATTTAAAAATATATTTATTAATAATAGTCAAAACAATATCAATCAAATAGGAGTGATGGAATTTTATTCTAGTTTAGCTAGCTGCTAAAATTTACAGACAGTAACATTTGACTTGAGGTAAAAATAATCTTAGTCTTTAGTATTTGAAGATATTGATTAAAACTCAATAAATATTAAATTTAAATAGATAAAAAATAGTTTTTAGTTTTTTTTAACAAAAAATTTTAAAAAGTTTAGTCATTAAAAATTTTTAAAATAAATATATTACAATAATTAGGTATATTGAAAATAATAATGATGAAAAAATCTAAGCCTTCAACATTCAAAATTTATAATACTAAAATATGATTGTATTATCTATTAATATGAGGTAAAAATACTTGGTTTCTTAGTTTTTTAATTGATAAATTATAATATTTAATTTAAAAAAAATTTTTTAACAAATAATTTGCTCTCATATAATTCAATATTTTATTAATAAGATTATTGAATTTTCAGAATTAATTAAGTTTTTTATAAAATTTAAATTTAAATATTTCACTATTTTTAATAAAGTTCATGTTCTCTAACTTAATTTCAAGCTTTTGATTTAGGATTGGTTTAGAATCTCACTTCATTAAATATAAATTTAAGGTAAAATATTATTTATAACTTTAAAATAATCGTAATATCATTATTCAGTTAATAATTTAAAAAATAAAAAGTTAGGATATTCTAAAGTTTTAAAGCAATTTAAATTAGTTATATATATATAAATTGATATTTATTAATTATCAATTAATTAAAGACAAAAAAAATTTAATTGATAACTTTATTTTTTAATTCAAGCAATAATAAATTATCTAAATTTGAAGAATTAGCTGCTGGACTAGAAAAATGTTTGCATCTTTAAAACTTGGATTTAAATTTGAGGTAATTCAATTTAATTTTTTTATAATTTTTGAAATAATTAAAAAATTTAAATTAGTAATAACCAGATAGAAAAGGAAGCAGCTTAGTCTATTATATAATCAATTACACACATCTAAAATATTAGAATATTAAAACTCGATTTTTCGTAAAATTGGATTAAATTTTAATTATTTTTAAGTAAAATATTTTATTTTAATGTTAAAGCAATACTTTTTTTAAGCTCATTGACTTTAACGTTTTAGAAGGAAAATGTGAAAAAATTACTCTGTTTTCATTTTTATTTGAGTAATTATTATTTTGAATTTGTAAACTACTAATTTAACTCTAGATATTTATTTATTAATATTAGATTTAAATTAAAAATATATGTTAAAGTATATTAATTTTATTTATTTAGATAATAAAGCCTTTAATACAATTAATAATCAGCTATTAGATTAGATTAATGGCTTACTAATTGCATGTATCTGTCCACTTTAAAAATTTATCCTACGTAAATTTATAATATATTTATTTATTAAATTTTAATGATTAATAACAATTTTTTCTCAAATAATTTTTTATTTAAGTTTAAATTCCACCGTTTATTAATTTTAAAATAACTTTCACTTAGTTGAAAAATATAATATTTTCTTACTTTTAATATTAGGTATCGTCACAGTGATATAAACATTAATAAACTTAAAAGAAAGCTAAAAAGATTTGTTGCCAACAAATGACAATGACTAATAATTTTATTTTTAAAATTACTAATTAGCTTTTAAAATTAAAAAGTTAATATTAAGTGTCTTTAATTTATCTCAGTGTTGAAACAAATAAGATGACCTGTTTAGAATTTAAATTTAATTCATTTTCACCAATTATTTAAAATTTTACAGTTTTATTGTATTCTGCTAATATAAGTTAATACATTCAATTTTTTCAAAGATTAGAGAGGATTAGGAAAAATTTATCAAAAATTATAAAAACAAACTTGGATATGTTTTTTTCTAATTTTTTCATAGTTTGAAAAATACATTTTATCATATGGTGAAAGCCTTTTTGTTAAATTATTTGCAATAATTATAACCAGTTGCATTAAAAAAATTATTTTTTGATCTTAAAATTTTATATTTGATTTTGGCTAAAAATAATATAAATAAATAAAGACTTAAATATATTTAATTTTTCTTAATAATTTTTTTAATTTAGCTTTATATTATTAATACTGAAAAATTTAATATAAATGTGAAAACTTTTTTATTTATTAGTTTTATATTTTTGAAATTCTCTTTATTTGGTAACTTTAAGTATTTTATTTAGAAAAAATAATAGGTATCTAACTTTATGTTTGTTATCTAATATATCCATTGGTCAATTAAAGTCAAATAAATTCAACATTTAAGTAAAGCTGAACCTAAATAATAAATTCATTTTTTGTTAATTTTATTATTTTTGAAAAAAAAATAAAACAAAAATAATAAATATCAATGTTTTATTATTATGAATATCACAAATCTAATACTCACATCGTATTAAATATATTTATAAATGTCTTAAGGAATTAAATTAATATTTGACTGAATTATTGCTACAAATTGATAAAAAATAATTCTGATGGTTTTTTAAACAAGTAGGGTTTTTGGGTAAATTAAATTGATCTAAAAATAATAAATAATTTATAAAAAAAATACTTAGAAAACACATATAGAAAAAGAGAGCAGTATTAAAATGAAGAGAAAGGCTATTCGTAGATTAAATAAATCATCCAACCATATTAAAACAACTAATAAAAAGATTAGAAAGCTTAGAAATTCTACTTAAGTTAGCAACGTCTAAGGATGGGATAAAAATAAAAGCCAAGAAGAGAATTTGAAAACTTTGGGCATTTACAAAAACATCAATAAAAGAGTCACCAATATAGTTGATAAAAACGAGCTTATCAGACTCAAAAAGGAAGGAAAGTTGGAGCCTTAATTTGACTAATATATTTCAGTTGATGAAGAAGTCAATTTAGATGATATCAAGGCTATTTTAGAAAAAAATAAGCTTCCTGAAGACAAATACGCAAAGTAAAAGCCTGGAAGAATTAATATTGACGAAGAATGGGCAATAGAGAAAATAGTTGCAAAATATAAAACTAACTTCAGCAAGGCATACGTTGACCATAAAGTCAATACTTTTATGTGGACAGAAGACCAACTTTAAAAGAAATATAATGCATATATTGAAAAGCATGGCAAATGCCCTAAAAATTGAAGTTTATTCATACATATTTATTTATGTTTATAGCAACAAAAATCTATTAATATAATTATTCTAATAAAATTAAAATAAAATGAATTCAAAAAATAAGCAGGATCTTTTCAATTAGAAAGATATTTTAGTATAATTAAAAGATAAAATAAATAAATAAATTATTTTTTAATCAACTATGAAAAATTATTATTTTTAATATTTCAATAAATTACAGGCTTGTTTATTATATTAATTAATTCTACTTTTCTATTCATACTAAAAATTTTAATACATTGAAATTAATTGCTAAAAAATGGGGTAAAGAAAATATATTTTTTTTTACATCAAATTAATCATTTTTTCTTAGAAATATTCTATTATGAATGAATTTAGTAATAAAAAAAAATAAATACCATTGATTACCTTACTTTTTCTTTTGCATTTACTCATTAAAACATAAAAGATGACCCAAAAATTAAATAATTTTTTTTGTAAATCTTAATATTATTTCAACCAGATTAAATTATTGTAAATTTGTTTTAATTTTTAATACAAAATCTACAATTAAAAAAAAAAATAGAAAGAAACAGAAGGTTTTTTAGTCTTTCAAACAAAAAAAAATGGCTCAATATGTAGTTTTGTTTTTTCTACTTTTATTTAAATATTTTTAATTTGATATTTGTAATGCTATAAATTATTATGATTCATTTTTATGATGCTAGTTTTGCTAAATAGTCTACATCGTCTAATCTACAATTCTAAATAGAAAATGTTAGTTTAGCTTTAGTTTTTTTGAGAGAAGTTTTATTTAAAAGCTACAATTCATCTATAGGTGGTTCTAATAATTAAACTTTAAAATCTCCAATATTATACTAATCCTTTTTAATTAATTAGTGCACACACCAACCATAAAGCTAGTTTTTATTCTGTAAGATAATTAATAAAGAAATATAAAATATAATAAATATTACATTTTCATTTGTATAGATTTTTATTAAAATCAAGGATGAATCTATTTAAGAGTTGTATTCTTATTTTAATTTTTCAATGTTGAGGGGGATAATTAGATTTTGTTTTATCAAAATTGTACCTTTTTTCGTTTACCTCATTTATTTAGGATACTAATATTAGCAAAGCTTACCAAAATTATCATACAAACGATCCTTAAATACTTGCACTGATATATCATAAGTAAAATATGGGTATGGATAGTCAATTAATTCATTTAGTTTTATATTAAACCCACTTTAAGTAGAATAAAATTCTAATGTTTTCTTATGTTCTTTAACAAATTAAATTTAAAAGTCTCCATAAATCTAATTTTATTTATTATTTTACACATTTATAGGCTTTATCTCTATTTTTAGAATAGCTGATTCCTCAAAGAACTCATATCCTTATTCACTATTATAAATTATTGGTATTTCTCCTTTCCCTATCAACTAAAGAGGTTTTTTAGGAATCTAACTATAGAGAGAAATCTCTAAAAAAATATTTTAATTATGAAAAGAAAATAGTTTTCTCAAATCTTTCTTTTAAACTTAAATTTATTAAGTAGCTAAAGTAGTATATTCAAGATTATTTATTTTTTCATTTATTATTAACTTATCTTATACGATTTCAGAAAAGTTTTAATCGTTTATTACTATATCTGGATTTTGTTAATCATCTTTTTTCAGCTAAATCTTTTAAATTAATGATTAAAATTATTTTTATTTTAAAATTTTATTGATGAATTTCTGTTATAAAATTGGAAGAAATTATTAAATATTAATATTGAATAAGGACTAAGGAAGTAATTAAATAGATTACAGAATAAAAAAGTTGCTAGTCTTTAGGTTCTAGATTGTATATTTTTTTAAATTAGAAGCTAAATATTTATTTTTAAACTTTAGAAATGCCATTAGCCATTATAGATGTATTATCATCTTCTATTTCATCTATTTTTATAAACTTTCAAAAAATATAAAAATAACTCCTTAAAATACAAAAAAATTTTACGAAATCTACAATATTATCACTTTACTCATATTCTTCAGAAACATTTGAAAATTATCTTAGCCTTTATTTCATATTCCCAGAGCGTGGCATTAAGTGCTTTTCTTTTAATTAAATAAGCTTTTAAGAAATCCACCCTATTTCGTTGTTGTCTACATCCATAAAATTTATTAATAATATCAACTATTTATACTGTCTTTATTCCTATAATAGCTGCTAAAAATCAAAATCGAATTCGATATATTTATTGTAATCGATTTCAATACAGTTATTTTCTCTGCTGACTTTATAATATTAATCATCTTGCCTAGAATATATCTTTAAAGTAGAATTTATTAAATTCATTTGTTAATATTTGTAAATTTACCATTTATTCACCATACATAACAAATATTCTGATTCTTAATATTAAAATATTCAGAGCTAATTATAAATTTTCAATTTTATTCATAGTAAATAAGAAATTTATGTTTTATTTATTTAACAGACTGCTGTGGAGATTCAAATCAATAGTTTTAAAATAAATTTTATCTTTAATCAAATCTTCTCTTTAAAACTAATCTTAAACGCCACTGT